TGTACAATAGATTTACACGTGGTCTATTGAGACTTATTTAAACTATGTACGATGTTAACATTAGGACGTCAGGACAACGAGAGAGATTTTTTGGTGACAATTGCGAGGTGTCGAATTTTAGGGCGTAACTAATTTCCACTCATTGGGGGTAACAAATGTCCAATTATTTGTCTATTTTCTCGGGCCCTTACCCTTTCTCTTAAATTTGTCTAAAAATGTTGCATGAGTCCCTCTACTTGGGTCTGAGTGCAACATACTTTTTCACTTACTCTTATTTTCTATTATTCATCTATGTGTTTGTGTATACGTAAGCGCATTTACGCATAGACAAAGACATACATTTGTACTGTCTACATTAATTTATTTATTAAAATCATATGAATAAATATGTACTCGAATCTAACATTTCTTACTTTTCCTTGAATTTAATTATTTATTTGTAGAAATATTTCTGTTTTATCGTTTTATAAATTTGTTGTATTATTTTAGAATTTAATTGTTTAATATTTGTTTATTTTAAATTATTTAACTTTCAAGTTCTATTTTTTTTATTTGTTTCTCATTTCATATTTAATTTTTGTTTTCTAAAAATTATTTCGGAAACTGCAATATTAAAATTTATTTCAATATTTTTCTCAACACTAAATTTTTGTCATTAAATGATTCTAAAATCTTTTGGTTTAAAATAAATCTTTTTATCTAATGTTCTTTATCTTTAAGTATTTCTTATTTTAAGTATAAGTGAGTTTGCTTACGTATAACAAAACTCCCATTCATCAATTTAATCTCTTAAATATACCTCGGCCCTCAGACTAATTACCGAAATTTCCCTGGGCCTTTAGCAAAAATCGAACGAGACACTTAATGACCGCACTCGAATTATCTTTTACAATCGTTAAAATTTAAATAAAATCATACTCGATTTTTATAGTTAATAAATATGTAAAGAAAAATTTCTTTACATAACAATTGCATAGAAGTTTTATATATTTTACAAACAGGATATTTTTTTTTTTATTTTTATGTTGTCCAATTATGAGAATATTTGCTTTAACGAGGTTATATTCATCAGCTGTCAAAACTTTTTACTTGATGAAAAATAACAAATAATATCAAATTTACGGAAAATTTTTGTACAAATAAAATTTTTTTACTGTGCTAATAGAAAAGGTGGGAGTGGGGGGCACAATGGGGTACTTTAAAAATTTAATGAAAATATATTTTTTTTTTAAATAAAAGAAAACTTTTTTTTTCTATTTTATTAAGATAATTATAAACAAATTTGATCAAAAAATATTTTTTTATTAAATTTTTTTTTTTCTTATTTAAAAATGATTTATAGTGACGAAAAAAATAGCTTAACATAAAAAAAAATTTTGTACAAAGAAAATTATTTTTAAAAATTGACTTTTGAACCAAAAAAATTTTTTTGGTTGCTTTAAATAAATTTTTTATTCTATAAGTTTGTTCCGAAAACTTTTCCATAAAATAATTGGTATTAATGCTATGATAGCAATATTATTTATAAAATTTACTTCAAAGGTATTCAAATTATCTATAATGTAATTAAAAATATTGAAAAATCATTAAGCCAAAATTTCTTTATTCTTAATAATAATAATAATGTTAATAAAATAGTGAACAATTAAATACGACAGGAAAATGAATAGATGAAAACAATTTAGGATGTTACTATATTTACATTTGTATTATAACTTGTAACATTGAAAACAATCCATTCGGAAGGGAGTGCTAATTTCTGACGCTGTCTAAAAATGATAAAGCGTAACCAATTCGCCATCGAGTTAAATGTACTTTCTGTCTTCCTCTTTTAAAATGGTTGGGATCTCGTAATTTGTAGGCAGGAATGAGAAGAAGGGAGCGCGAGGCAAAGGGTAATCGTTTCCATTGGACAAATTAAAACGAACGATTCAACCGAGCGTTAATTTAACAATGTCTACCGTCAAATCAATAATCATTAATTAAATTATTCTGAAAATCGTTGTAACGCAAAAGGGAAAGCCACCAACTTCCGTGTTTCACACACCCACTCCATCCTATTGGCAAAACATTAATAAACTAAAATTTATCTTTCACTTTTCTCTTTCTATGTATCCACGTCGTTTATTTGTACACAATTACAAATAATACAATATAACATCCAGCGTGTGAAATACGTGTGTTTATGTATATATGTGTCATGCTTGCCAAATCCAATGAATATTTAATTCCCAAATTCAATTGTATTTTTTAGCCAATTAAAAATATTGATAAATTTCGCACCGTTTCCCGGGAATATAAACAATTTGCTAAGTGATTACATTTAAATATTCCACGCCTCAAGCGCGATCGCGCTCTGGGATTCACTATCCTATTCAAATTTTGACTCACTCATGCTTAATTGCTTTTACTCTTTCTATTTTCGAATAAATTAAAACAAATTTTGTTGAATTAATCGAATAAATTATCAAAAATCGTCATATATCTCATTGTTAAAGTGTTTTGTTCTATTACAGCTATAAATTTCTTTTTATTCTCTACCAATTAAAAAAATTTCAATGCCATGCTAAAGCTTACATTATTTTACATTGACAAAAAATTAAAAGAAAATTTTTTGTAAAATATAATTAATCAATGAAACTTTTGATTAAAAGAATGTGGTATCATCTGTTGACAATACATATGGCTACTTTAAAAGGGTGTATATAATGTAATCCTAAATTTCCATTTTTTTACTTGTAAATTAAACATTTTATCGGCCTACTAAAATGTATATTTTTTGCAATATCAATTTTTTTAATCTTTCTAATCTCAAATTTCCATTTTTTTCCTTATAAATTTAAAAATTTTGTTTTAATGATAAATTTACATTCAATAATTCAAAAACATAATTAAAAAATTAAACAGCAACAAAATTAAATGCAACGCATTTTTCTGTAATTCTGACCGGACTTTCCACTCAAATTATTTAATTAAAAATTACTCATTTGATACAAAATAACTCTTTAAATAAACAATAAAAATCGGTTAAATCATTCTGCATACAAATTAAAAAAATAATAGTCTGCAAATAATAAAATGCTTAAATAATTTGAAAATAACAGGAAGGCGGACGGATCTGCTGCTGACGATAGGCAAACGAATAATAATTCAGGAATGCATAAATAAATATTCAGATGAGGGTTAATTAAAAATCGTGTTTTTATGCACGGCATGGAGTGACCGTGTGGTTATTTCGTTGATGTGTAGCAGCCCTCACTCTCTTTGCGCATAGCCCGTGTGTACAGCGTAATTGATTCTGTCACTCTCCACCGCCCAATTTTCAGCCGTTAAAATATAGTATGGTATGCAGAGGATATACTGGGGAATCGCAAGTTCCCAAAGTGTGAGAAGGAGGTTTGGTTAGATAGAAGAGATGACTCTTCTCTTCATACTCTGTAAATTGCTCACACGTATGCAGACAACGGTTGGAACGGTGCCCACTTCCATTTTCTAATAACCAACATGTCATTCTCGATTTTTCTTATTTACGAATAGGAGGCAAAATATAAAAAGGAATTTAATATACTTGTTTAATTTTTGTTTTTTCGAATTAAAAAATTTTTTCATCACTGTGGAATGTTTTTTTTTTTTTTTTTTTAAGGGGATACGTACCCTGTATGGACGAAATTGCACCACCAGGTCATCATGGCCTCGGAGAAGAGTGTTTCACCGATATTATATCGACCGCGCAAGTGATACTTCCCACCGTCAAGTGGAACGCCCAGTATATATTGCAATTCCTCTCCATGAATTGTATGTTGCCGTTGTTTCTGAAATTTTTAATACTTTTCAGAAAAAAAAATTTTTTCAACTTTGTATATCTATTGAATTTACAATAATAATTTTTTATCAAATTGATACTAAAATACCTATTTCAATTTTAAGGGGTTGAATTGATTCAACAACAATAACAATAACTATAAAATTAAATGGCTGAAATGTTTTAACTCGTTTAGATTAATTTTTGTTAATCGAGTTTTTTTTTTTATTTTTATTATTTTCTATTACTCATCAAATAAATACTCATTACATTGAAAATTAATTTAAAGCAAAGAATTTCCGTAAGAAAGTAAAATGAATGATTTTTACTTTAGAACTTTATACCTCATACTCAACTTTCTAGTATGTAGCAAATTTGGCGACCATGCGCCGCCTATCAGAATTTTTCTATATTAATTTTAACCGAAAAATTATATATGGGTACATATGACCATATCAAACCAGATATGTTCATATATGACCTGATATGGGCGATTTTTATATTAGACTATATATACACAGCAAAAAATTTTGCGTCAATGCGTCAAAAAATTTTGTGTTAAAAATTTTTATGTTAAATATGTTAAAAATTTTTGAGTTAAATATTTAACACTTTTATGTGTAAATTTAACATTTATAGTGTTAAATTAACACAAAAAAGTATTAAATATTTAACATAAAAATTTTTAACACAAAATTTTTTGACGCGATGACGCAAAATTTTTTCTGTGTAAGTATACCAAGACGTACATTGATAAAAAAAATTAACTTGACTCAAGAGCCAAAATCTTGAACCAAGAATACATTTTGAAGAAAATGATTATCTTGCGTCAAGAGAATAAATTTTTGAGTCAAAAATTTACTCGAATCAAGATTAATTTTTTGACAAGAATTTATTCTTTCGACTCATGAAAATCATTTTTTTCAAAATGGTATTCTTGGTTCAAGATTTTGGCTCTTGAGTCAAGTTAATTTTTTTATCAGTGTATAAGAAGTTATGTTTGAACATATCAAATTTTATGAAGCCATATATGAACTTATTAAATTTGTTGATATGGTCACACATGATAATAATGATACTGAAGTTAGCCGACGATTGTCAATTTTAAACTTATTTCATATAACAAATCATTTACAATGATAAAAATACTTTTAAAAATTCTCACTAATCATTTTCAAAAATTTTCTCATGTGTAATCATTTTATTAAATTATTTTAATAATAAATTCATTGCACTAAAATTCTAAAAAAATTTCTCATGTCTATCAACATTAGTGTCATTGGTAATAACCCAAAAAATGTATTGAAAATTTATTTTTATCGTTTACATCATAATCACATATAAAAATTGATTATATCAGGCCATATCAGAAAAATTTCGTTCCTGGTACTATGTTAAAAAGTGGTGATGATTTTAATTGTAAGATTATCTTAGTAGTTTGTGTTCAGTGGAACGATAAGAAGTTAACTTTTATAATTTTATTTAAATTAAAATTAGTTTAAAACGCAGCCATATTGGAAGGAATAGTTATTAAAAAAGAAATAAAAATAAAAATAAAAACTTACACCAGAGTAATCTTGTATTGCCCTCGGATGTGAAAAAACATACATATAGCTTCTGGGATTAGCTTTAACATGTAATTTGCCAGTCATCACAAGGGGTGCAACGGTCCCGCTATCGGAAAATACGTCCAGCACAATATCGCGATTTCTCGTTAGATAATCACTAGTGAATGCATCGAGAAAATTTCCGCCGTAATGCTCCAAAACCCGTGACAGTATCGGATCTGGTTCTAGTTCATGAGTCGCCTGAAAAATATATATTAAAGCACTCGACTAATACTAAAGCGGTAGCGGACCGTGAATCTTAGCCCACTAAAGTATTCCATTCCCATTCCCATTCCCGTTAAACTCATTCCCCGATACTTTATCCATACATATATAACAGAACAGGTATAATAGTAATAAAAAGCTAAATATAAAGAATGTCGATCTTACTTTAGCGTGATCACGAATCGCCTGATCCCGCTGCTCGTCCAACATTCCCTCTAGCACGTCAACCGCCGGTAAAATGTGGAACTTTTCAGATTCAGTAACGCCGTACATCAAGTCGAAACTGTCGATATTGATTGTAAAATTGCATGAGAAATATTTTAAAAGTACATATACACTTTAATGTATTTATAGATACGTGAATGCATGGATGCATTAATACATGCGCTGGAATATTAGTTAGATAAATAAGTTTTTATGTTGCACAAACCTGCCAAACACTTGGGTATCCTCCATCAATCTTAGGGGCTTCTTTGGTATTACAGCGCGATCGATAAGCGGCGCGAATGCTGGCACATATCGCGGCTTATCGATCTTCACGTTTAGCAATGCTTCTACATCTCTATTTCGTAAGCATGACGCTAATTCGCTGTCACTTTTTGTAGGACAATTTAATTGAAATGCAACCTAGAAGATAATTTTCAATTTTAATATTTTCTTTTTCTTTTTTAATTATAAATGCAAAGTTATTTTTCAAATTTTTTTTTAAGTTTAAAATTGATTTTTTTAGAAAAAGTTTTTAAGATTTTTTTAAAGACTTTAAAATAAGAAATTTATTTTAAAGAGAATCTTAAAATTAACAACTTAAGTTTTTGCGTTTATCTAAGAAAGTTGAAATTTCGAATTTTTAACATTTTGCTTGAGAAAAAAGAGGTAAAGGATCGAAAAATTTTAATTAATATTTTTCATCTGTAGCTTAGAATTTTCAAGTTGTTCAATTTTGGTTTCTAATTTTATTTTATTGGAATAAAAAATTTCTTTTAACCTCAGAAATCAATTTTTTAAAAAACAATTTATAATTCCTAAGAATGAATCGAATTTTTCTGCGATTTTAAATTAATATTTTTTATTTTTGTAAAAAATTTTTTTGACATGGCCATTTAGAGCTAATTCACATATATGGTCTGATATAGCCATATACGTGCTGATAAGGCCATATAGAGTCTCATAAGATCACATATGAGGATATCACCCCCATGAAAAAAAAATATATAAATTATGTATAGTAAATATATTTTTAATAACTAACTTTTGGCCGATGTTCATATATATTGTTTATATTTCAAATATATTTTAAATATATTTTTTTTATACTTTTAGCTATGTATTTTTTATGTATTTTAAGAAATATCTTTAATATATTTAAAATATATAAAACATATATGAAGATCGGCCAAAAGTTAGCCCTTCAAAATATATTTACTATACATTTTTATATTTTTTTTCATGGGGGCAAGTCTCATATAAACATATATGACCCAATGAGAACATATGGATTCTGTTATGCAATAGTGTGTTAAGTACATAGAATTTACATAGCACTTGACACATTAAAGCATAACCGTGTCCATATATGACCATATTAGGCCTGATATTTCCATATTAGGACATATGAGGCCACATATAGACTTATCAAAAATTGTACACATATAAAGATAAGGTGTCTTATAACTTTCTTCTATGGTCATATATGTTATGCAACAAACATACCATTATTATATGACCATATGACATAAATTTTCCACGAATTATATTACTAAAATTGTCCTTTCAAATTGTACATCAAACTTTCTCTATAGAATTTATTACCAAACACTTAAGTTATAATAGCTCGTTATTAATAAATAGTAATTTATACCAAACATTTACAGCTCAATTAATTTCCAAATTTTACAACGTCACTTGGTTTCCCAATATTAATTACTGTTGTTTAGTATTTAATGTTTCAGTATTCACCAAATGAATCACTGAAAATCTAAGTGATAATTCCTATAAACCAATCTAACTTATTCATCGTTATAGTTAGTTTACGTCAATTATCGAACAATTATCCTATTTTTATGGACTAAAAGAGAACAACAATTATCTAGTATTTAGAGATGAAAAGTAAAGTTTTAATTTTTAAAGAAAAAAATTTAGAAAATTCATGGTAAACAATAAGCTGTCTATTAAATAAATGAATAAAGTTTATTGACCTGTTTAGTTATTTGAAGCGGAGCCTTTCCAATTGCATCAAAACTCAATGCAGAGCCGGACATCAAAATGGCGCGTTTGAACAGACCTGTTGGCATTAAATCTCATTGAGTGTGTACTACAATTATTGTACTAAATGATGATAATGACTAAAAAATAACAATGGAGCTTGGAGAGTTTCATAGTTGCAAGATAATGTAGCCATTTAATACTGATGTAAATAATGGTATTATATATAGGGTAGTTAAAAGCACAAAAGAAGTAAGTGAACCGTTTAATTAATTAGACAATTATCCTTCCGTTTAGTTTAAGGTCGAGTAAGCAAAATTAAATTGCTCCCGCTAATTCTCTTCTGACGTATCCAATTCCGAGATACAATCGTGAAATGTCTTTAGAGGACCATCCAAACGTATGTTTTGAATATATATTATCTATTTGAGATACTCGTTGCCTTGGAATCAAACGTAATGCATATATTATCAAATTTTGTAGAAAATCAATAATTCACCATTAAAAAAAATTTTTTTTTCTGCTTATAAAATTTTTATAACATTAAATTAAATTATTTTGAAAGAATTATTTATTATACAATAAAGGTAATAATAATAAAATATAAAGTGGCAAATGTAACCAAATGTTGTTTCAAAGCCACCAGACTGAAATGAACTTTATGATTAAAAAAAAAAATTTTGCTGAGAAAAAAAATCTTGTCAAAAATATAATATAAAAAATTTCATTCTTTAAACATACTTGAATTATGAAAATAAACTTGCCTTGATTGTTAGCAACAGGACTAATAAGAAGTAAATTAGCAAGTGTCGCCCCAGTACCATGTCCCATAATAGTGATAAAATCCGGATTACCACCGAATCGCGCAATATTTTCTTTGAGCCATAAAAGCGCAGCCGTTAGGTCGAGCAGCCCAAAATTGCTGGCCGCCTCGTCGCTGGTCCCTGGTCGCATGAAACCTGTAAAATAAACATCCATAATTTTGAGTTTATTGGATTATTTTCCGGACGATTATCCGGTAATTTCATTGCGACTCTCATTATCGTTTGTCAGAAAAAATATTAATAAAAATAGTAAAATATAACTCGTAAGTTCATGGGTACGATCAAGCGGATAAGCGACTTTTACCTCTATTAACAAGTTTACTTTATTAAAATTTAATCCCAAAATTGTTTTCCGTCTTGTTGGGTACTGGGATGCGCATGTTTCGCTGTTTTACATTTACAGTCTATAGGTCTACCGAAAATGCATCGACGGTGGGAAAGAAAAAGGAAAAGAGAGAATTTACCCTCGATATATTATACGACAACGCGGACAAGACTAACAGTGTCCATCTCGTGTTGGTGGTCGGAAAAGCACTAAGCGGTTCTCTAGCACTTTAACTGAATTTATGATTATGGTTTTGTCTCGGTCTTTTTATTTTTTTATTTTATATTTTAGCGTTTTTGCTTTATTGCAACCACTCTGCCAGCAGATATCCACCGTAGAGAAAAAGAGAGAGAGAGAGAGCTTTCAACTCGAGTACATGTGATAACTATCGTTATATAGTCTCTCTGTCCTTGAGCACGAACCAAAAGTTGTTTGTTTTAAATTAAATATTTATAGTCAATACTAGAGTGCTGAGAAACTATAATTTTAATTTTCAATTTTAATAATTCACTAAAAATTTTTTTTTGACTTGGGTGAAATATTTTACAAAAAATAATAAATTATTTTCAATGTCGTAATTAATAAATTTTTACTGTCACTACGGGGGTTCGCGGTGGCTCAGAATTTTCCTTTTTCCGATCTACGTAAATTTTGTAAATTTATTCACCGATTGAATTATGAGCTCAGCAAAGCAGAACCAGAACATGCAAAAAATATTTTTCGAGATAAAAAATCTTGACTTATCAAAATTAATGTCGTGTGTATAAGTCACATGTCACCGTAAATCAGGTATTGGAAAAAAAAAAGTAAAATACACAAATAATATCTTCTCCTTCGCGTTTTAAATTGATATAATAATAAAAATAAAAATAATAATAATGATAATAAAAATAGTAAAATTTAATTAAAAAATAATACGAGAAAGTATTTTAATTATAAAGTTAACTTACCCAAAATACCAAGACGAAAATTAATAGTTACAAAGACGACGTTGCCATAAGCCGCTAGAACGGTGCCGTCGTAAGGATTGCCGCTATTCCACTCAAAGCTTTCACCGTGGATAAAAACCATAACTGGATACCTTCTTGAATTAACTTGACCTAAAAAGAGTAAATTAACTTATATTGGAATATTTTACCTCAGCTTAAAATTCAACATCATATAATACGCTTATACTTTATCCTCAGTACACTCTGTACTCTGTACTCTCACCCTCATTCTCACTCACACTCACCCAGTTACTCACACACACACACACACACACATTGCCGTTTGATGCCGGCTTGCTCCTCACTATCAAATTTTCCTAAAATTTTCAATAACAACCACGCCACATAATATCGTAAATAACACAAGCGAACGACCTCTAAAAGTGTACTGTACTGAGTAAAAGTAAAGAGGAGGCGCAGCGATTTAATTTCTTCGACAGGGACGTAGCATACCACCCGCTCTAGCAACAAGACAAGCCTCTTTCTACTCTGCTTTTCTGTACTACGCTCGGAGCAAAACTTTCCAAATTAACTCGTTACTCGTTATTTTACCTCCCGGAGTTTATCTCGCGATTTAATTAACCTCTTACAATTAATAATACGGCGGAATAAGGCTATTACGCGGATTTAAAATTAAGGCATTAACGGAAGACAACGCTGCGATAGACAAAAATATTCTGAAGTTAATTGCGGTCTAAATACCGAGTTTGAGGATTTTTTTCTATGAAGCCATCGGGGCGTGAAATTTAATAGTGGGGAGGTGTTACAGTTTTTCAAGTCAGAAGAATTTTTATTGAATTAAGATTACTTTAGTGATCCTCAAATAATTGTAAAGAAAACGAAATCAAATAATAAAAGTCTGGAGAAAAAACCGAGGAAAATTGCACCTAGAAAAAATAAAATAGCTGTATTTACCATTTTTCATACTTATTAGCATTATTTTCAGTATAATTGTAAATGATACTATATAGAAAAAAAAAGAAAAAACAATTTGGTTCAAGTTAGTATTTTTCGTCAAAATTTGAGTCTTGTTTCAAAATTTTAATATCTCAAAAAAAAAAATTCGAGAAAAAATCTCTATTTAAGGTAGTTGGGTCATGCGAGCAAAATTTCAAGAAACCTTCCAAATTTATAACATAAGTAATTAAATGCATAATGCACATGTTGTTAAAATTTGGAGACGATTTACTACTTCTAACCAAAGATAATTGCAATTAAAAATGACATTTTTACACTGGCGGTATGGGAAAAGAGAGAAAATCGCGAAGTTTTATTATATTTGTACTGAAAAAATTTTAAGAATTTCACGAAAAACTAATATTACTTAGATTAATTCTCTACTACATAGTTTTTGAGAAATCATTGATAAAGTAATAAAGTAAAAAAATAAAGTTATGCGTGAAAGTCAGTGAGCAATAGCCCGTAAGAGAGGCGATACTAGCGAATGAAAAAGACAGCAGTAGCATAAACTATAGGTTGGGAAAGAACTGCCTTAAAAATTTTATTCATTGATTGAGTATTTTATCGTTTGTTTAATTTTTTATTTATCCTAAGAAAATATGTTTGTTAGTTTGAGAATTAAATTGTATTGAGCTAAAAAATTTATACTTTTAAACCAACCATAAACCAATTTTGATGCTAGAATTTAGAAACCAAGGGAAACAATCCCTGACGGAAAAAAAATATTGTTAAAATGACTATCCAACGGATCCTCAAACGACGTTTCCTTAAAATAACAATCCGGATATCTGATTTAAGGATTTATTTGTTTGACTGAAAAGCATACAGAGAATAGCTCTTGTAAATATATGTAGTTTCGTCAAAACAGGCAACTGTTTCGTTAACGTGAGAATCTGTATAGTTGAATTAACTAAATGTAACGCTAAAATAATGATATGGATCGTCATTTTGATGATCTGCTGTATAGCTGAATTGGCTATACAGCGTATATCTCTAAAAAAAATGACTATACAGCGTACAGTCAGAATAACGATACGTATCCTTATTCTAACAATATTTTTTTCTCCGTGGCTGAGGCAATAAAATCGGCTTTCTTCCTACAAGTTTTTTTAGTTCAAGAATATTTTCCTTTAATCAAATCATTTTCTTTTCTGAATGTAATATCGCGTTACAAATGCCATAAGGGCGTACCAGCCTATTATACGCCCTTATGGCACCCGGGTGCCATAAGGGCGTACCAAAAAATTTTTTCGAGAATCGACGTAGTTATGCCTAAAACGGGAAGTGATGCAAAAAAAATTTTGGTACGCCCTTATGGCACCCAGGGTACCTACCGAGTGCCATAAGGCCGTACCAAAATTTTTTTTGCATCACTTCCCGTTTTAGGCATAACTACGTCGATTCTCGAAAAAATTTTTTGGTACGCCCTTATGGCACCCGAGGTACCAACTGGGGACCATAAAAATGGACCCGGAGCACTTCACACGGTCGTGTAGTGTGAAATAATGGTGTGAAATTCTCTCGATGTGTTACTTTAACACCATTATTAAAGGACAATTTTAGGAAGTCATATAAATAATCGAAAACTCCAAAATAGTGCATGTTAGTAATTATTTCATCACTTTTAAGTATTTATTTAAGATTTTCGGAATACTTCTAAGATTCAATTTAAGAATCAATGCAATTTATTTGAAGCAATTTAGTTGAAATTTTGTCCTTAAATCTTATGTGGAACCTTTTTTGAATAATCTTAAAACATTTTTTAACTATTTGAGAACAAGCGTAGAAATGACGAAAAAAAATTTTTTTCAAATTTGAAATTTTTTGGTACGCCCTTATGGCTGGCTCCCGGTAGGTACCCTGGGTGTCATAAGGGCGTACCAAAATTATTTTTTGCTTTTCTGCCCGTTTCAGGCATAACTACGTCGATTCCCGGAAAAAAATTTTTTATACGCCTTTATGGCTTTTCAAGGGTATTTTTTTCGAGATACGCCCTTATGGCATCAGTAACGCGATATGGTAATGATTAGTACGTTCTTACAGCCCAAGTCAGTACTCAAAATTGGGGAAATCACTTAGTCAAATGACTCAATACTGAAAAATCCTCGATACCATGCAAAGTAGTAATAATTATTGTAATTCTACATTGAAAATACAACTCTTCTCTTTTCTCCACAGAGGATCATTTTTATTGAAAATTCAGCTATGTATATCTGACAGTATGCAAACGAGAGTATACATGTGATTTACGAGGACATTACGGTCTCTTGTACGGCAGTAAAAGTAAAGATAGGAGTATAACAGCTGACAATATAACGACAATACATCAAGGTCCCGTGGCCCTCGGGCTTTCCTTTCAATTTTCATGTAAATTTCCGACAGATCCCCGCCCTTTTTCCCTTTTTAACTCATCATCCCCCAGCAACACATACTGGATTTACCTACGACCTATTTGTTCTTCTTTCTACCCGTCAATCTATACCATCTAACAATCTAACCCTATACATCTACCTGGTTCCGGCACTTTGTATTCTTTATCGTTTCTCCCTCCCGGAAATTTATTCTTCGCACTCGAGTTTTAAATTTTCCGCCCAAAATATATTGCTGCTCTGATTTTTCATCCTCGGATACGAAAACGTCACTGATAACATTCACCCGGCTCAGACAAATCGGGCAACACCGATTTTTATTTATGTCTCTTACCAATATTTTGCCGAGACCTCTGATGATTAATTTTTTCAGTCCCTACTCGAGACTATACTACTCAATTTTTTAAAATGATGATTTTTTTTTTTTTTATAATATTTCTTCGAACATTTTTTAGTCTGTATATGATCATATGTGTTGACACTGAGAAAAAATGAAAATTATGACTAGAAAATAATTCATTCACTCAAGAATTTGTTTAAATAAATTATTTTTTTCATAAAAAATAAACATCGTAATTTTTATTAATTTTATTATAAACAGTAGAAAAGTAGCCAAATTTTGTTGAAGCAAAAAAACCATAATTAAATACTATAATATTTAAATAAAAAATATTTATTAATAGTATATTATTATTATTAATTTTATAAATAAAAAACTAGCTATTATTTTAATAAGATTAAATTTTTTATTCAATTTATTTTTTAACATTATTTCACTTGAAATTATCCGTTCACATTTTTATTACATAATGAAATATAAAAACCCCCGTTTATCCTCTCAATAATTTTGCTTTTATTTCACACAATTTTATTTAATTCTTGCATTTTTTCATCGAAATAATTTTATTGAAATTCCGATTCATAAACGCTTTAATTATTCATTGATACTTATAAATATTAAAATTAAAATCTTAATTTGTTGAAATATTTGAATTCTTTAATTACCATTTAATGTCCAATATTTTTCGTATCAATGTATGGTTAATTAAAAACCAAATTTACGGCAGGAACGTTAATAATTAAAACAATTTGTTCGATAAAATTTCATTAGCTAAATTTATACTTTCAATCTTTAAAAACTGAAATTGATTTAAAAATGATTGCATCAGCGTAATAAAATATTCTATTTAAAGCTCTTAGAAGTAAAAAAAAAATTGAACTTGAACTTGGATATTGACGTAACATTCCGTAACAAAAAATAAGAACTCTCTTAACTAAATAAATAAACATACGTATGAGAAGTAAGTAAATACAGTTGTCAAGTTTAGGGGAGTAAATCAGTGTACGTTGGCTCGTGTTCAAGAATCCGAAGTTTCGGTGCGGCAGATCCCGACACGCTTTAAACTTTAATAAAAAAGCTCAAGTCGAAAAGGTCGCGTTCTTCTTTTTCGGGTCGGCAAGATGTTAATTTCACGGTGCGGGTTCAGCATAGCTTTCAAGTGTCGACTAAGGCCACCTGGCAACAAGGCACGCAAGCTTGAGATTCCTCGAGTTCGCGGTTCATCTCACAGATGGCGATCGAAGGGCTTTGTTCTGCGCGTCACGATCAATAATTAATTTACCGCGAAAGAATTTAACAAAATTTATAAATAATTAAAGTCAATATATTTTAGAACAAAAATATTCTTCTTATCCAAGAAAAAAAAAAAGTTCAATTCAATTGTCGAACAAGTTAAAAAAAAATTCTATCAAATTATTTGAAAGTTTCGATAACGAAATTAT